AAATTTATTTTCTTTTTCTGACTGTATAATTGCGGAACGAAAGTAAAACGATCAGTTTTACAGCAGTTACTCGGGACCACTGAAACAGGTTACGGTCGTGGCAAGAAATGAACATTAATAATATTTTTAAGTTAAGGTTTTTCTGCATAAAATTTAGATTTATAAAAAATAACATCTTTTTTGGACGCTTATGATAATCATTGAATTAAAATCGGAGATTGTTTTTTAAAATATAATTTCTCGTTAATTATAACATAGGTTAAGTCTATATTTATTATGAAGTTGCTAGTATGCCGCTTAAATCTGTTATCAAAAGGGAAAATGTTATAAGTTAAATCTGTTATGGGAACTTAGAAGCAGAGAAATTTCTTGCGGAATGACATTGCATAACGACCTTATTTTTTATTTAGCTCAGACGTTTCGACTCATCTCGATCCGTTTCAGGGAGTCAGATGAAATAGAGCTGTTGCTTGGTTTCGATGACCGTTTATCCTTCGGGATCGCGGAGGTAACAACGTCAGATAAATTTTAAAACGTTATTCCTGATCCTATGCCAGCGTTTGAGCTTCGGTAGAAGGTAACCTGAGGCTAGAGCGAAATGACTCTTGAAATTCTTGTCTCAAGTCATTTCTGACCGTACCCGATCGATTGAGCAGTTAGTGGCTGTTTCGCCTTCTTCTGATAGGAACAGCCGAAGAAGGATGAAGATGAGTGGAGTAAGTTAAGGAAGCGGGATGAAAAGCGCTCATGGCATTAGTCTGTTTTGTCTGATTCAATTCCTGTAGTTGAACCGAATACGGCCTGTGAAACGTCAGAGATTCTTACGTAATAGACTTGCTATGCACAGTCATCTTGCAAAACGTCTGATATTTGTCATTATTTCTAGATAGCCAAAACACGCTGCATGTTTTAAGTTCATCCTTGTAGCGGAACTGCTTTTTACCAGCATTACCCTCACGTCATGTATGCAACTATACATTTACAGTGTTGATAAAAAATAAACAGTTAAATAGATTTTTTTCATCGTGCCTTGGCATATTTTCAACATGATGATTCCGTCTAACGCTGGCTCTAACTTATTAGATTCGAATAACAAGTGAAGTAGACGAATAATAACAAATCGGCGAATGATTTCTGTTCTCCTACCTGCGGGTGTTGTAATTGGAACGAGACTAACCGTGTAGAGGACTTCCATTCGCCTTATGTTTGGGCAGTGGATGTTCCTGTTGTTCAGAATCTTGTTGACGAAACATATTCTGCTGGAAATTACATCTTCAGTCAGCGACGAGGCTCTGTCGTAGAAACGGAGTCTGCGTGCTCGTGATTTTGTGTAGCTGCGTAAAATGGTAAAATCTCGCACACCGAAGGCAGTATACAACAGTATTTGTAATGATCGAGATGATGCAACCTGCACAAAAAATTTCGTTCCGAAAGCCAGGACGTCGAATACTTACAGAATTATATGACGCCTTCCATAGTTTTCCTGAAAGATGACCTAACGTCAGCTTGTCATCTACGGTCAAGCGCACTTACGACCTGCCTGACACCCGCCCGCTCAACTAATTTTTATCGAAGCTACCGGCCGTGTTAGAAGCATACCGTAAACCTTCATTTCATTTGTTCTAGTCCAAGAATCATGTTGTAATGTTATATATTTAATGTAATGAACATTTACTGTCTCATATAGAACGGCTTATCATTATTATATATATGAAAACGTTGTTTCGCCGAATAACTGTTTTTGAACTGTTTTTCTATCGTAATGGAGTTTAGTCTAAGAAGCAAAGTAATTTATAGGCAGTTAAGCGCCAGTCAGTCTGTCTAAACTACACGCCTGACTTTTTGGTGATCCTTTCGTCCAAACGCTTCTTCAAAATTACTTCAGTTTTTACAGGGACATGCTTCTCATTGCATTTAGAGAAATCGGATATAGTTGCATCTCTATTAACTTCTCTAATGAAGTATACGTGACAGTGTTAACAGCTTCTATTAATATTATCTTGTGAAGTTACCCATTTTTCGTTATTTACAGAAATAAACAATAACTGAACAAATTGTATTAATTAATTGATAATTAATTACCAGAAATAATCACATGGACTAGATTTTGGGGGAAAATATCGATGGAGCATGACATATAACCGTGGCGGGCTCTATTTCGAACTTGGGAAGTGTTTCATTTAAGCTACTGACGGCGACAAGACCACTGTATATACACTACCGTTCAGTTTCAGTAAAACGGTGTCCAGTTAATGGCCATGTCTTGCACTTTGGGTCGTAAATCAAATAACACTGCCATGACAGAGGCGGTGTACAGGCCGATTTTTTGAGAATAGTAATTCGTTTCTGTTTCTAATGATTGAACATGTGTCCAAAAGCGGGTAACACCTGGGCGATTCTCCTCAGTAGCTCTGGCTGGATGGTCAACCTTCTGAAGTGCTTCACCTCCCTGTTGCACCTGCGGATCAGCTGTACCGGTCTGCTTTCTCATAACTTTCGACATCCGGACATTAAAGTAAAAGGGAGATCAATTTACACAGTAAATTATATAATCACTAAAACTCTATATTCAGGGTAGTTTTTGTATTTCTACATCTTAAGAGAATTGTTTGTGATTAAATAACGTTCTGTACAGTCTAAAATTATTTAACTTCTTCATCTTCCATCGCCGCTTCTCCTTTCGGGTCGCGGAGGCAGACGCGTCAGACAGTGCTTCCAA